TAATATTGCATAAAGCGAGATGGAACCAACACGCTCGGATATGCATGATGGAATCAATATCCTCATATGTATGATGGAAACAATATGAGTTAATATGTATGATGGAACCAATATCGAGAGAGCGATGGAACCGTACCATGTCATGAACTTAGACTTCATGCATATTCATGAATAACGATTGGTTCCATCATAGCATTTCATACCCTACTTGTTTCCATCATAGTATATATACACCCTTATTGGTTCCAACATAGCAATTTCCCTTAAAATAAACAACTGGATTCGATTTCATTGAACATAAATTGCGAAAGACAATTTGATGCCTCAGTTAAATGTTCCATTCTTTTTGAATTTTTTTCATCTAAAAGACACGAAGCTTTAATTTTTTCTAATTTATCTTCATCAATTCCAAATGTCTTCATAAGAAATGCAATAGGACAATTGGAAGCGCGAACAAAAATTCGCTTAAGATTATTGCAATCATGAGATCTTTTTCTCTGGTTAAATCGATTCCAGTTTTATTTGATGTGCCCACTGAAAACGCATCCGATATGCCATTAGCAAGCCAGGTTGCAATGGTACCTCTGATCTCCCCTGGTAGCCTAGGGACACTAGCGCGGACTCTCAGCCTGGATAACACCAAGGCAGCCTTCGCTAGATGTGAGATAAGAAAAGGGGAAAAGATACGGCGACGCGTATCCGTAGGGTAAGGATATAATGAGATGAATAGGGCGGATACATGCACTGCAATGCCAGCTTCAAACTAAGCTAAAGGTAGATATTGAAGGCGGAAATCCCGCCACAATGGCCCCCAAACTTGATTCATACCGTCCTCGGTATAGCAGAGCTTCACGAACCAATTATTTAAATACCATCGGGCGCAATCCGTAATTGCAAAACCTTCGCCATCACCATACTCAATAAGAGCATGACAGTCAATGCATTATCCAATTCACATAACCTTAATCGTCATCACTATCGTCATCGTTATCATCATTATTGCGTGCATTCTGCAGATACCGCTTCACCTTCATACACACGTCAACTGATCCGCAGTATATGCTGCTGTGAGCGCAGGGTCATTTGCCAATTTACCCTTCCCACGTTTGTTCGTACTGTTCTGGCCTGGTTGGGCCTGGAGCTCGGGGGGATGGCCGAAATGAGTGTGCCACCTGGCGTGAGTGGAACTTTACCTTTCTAGAAAGGTGAAGCGGCCTCGACGCACCTAGCTTGGTAAGGTAAATGTTGAGGCGCAATGTGCAATAGATAAGGGACAGATAGACAATCCCTAACGGGAGCGCCCGGCCGGTAGACGCCGACGGTGAGGCTCCCGTGGCCGCACGCGCTGGAGACGTAGCGGAGCCGGAGCCCCGACGTGCGCGGCGTGCGGGCGTGCTTCGACAGGCGCTTCCGGAGCTTGCCCGCGAAGCTCGCCCGAAACATGGGGATTCCGGCCCAGTTCCAGAAGCTCACTTCCTCGGCAGCGGGTCCACGCGCTCCATGAAGACCCCGTACAGCAGTGGCAGGTCCTCGACGATGTCGATGTTCGGGTGAAGTACTTGCCGACCCAGGACATGACGGCCGCCGAGGGCGGCTTCGACTCCCGCGGCGCGGTGTCGTTACCCTCCGGTCGCAGCCACTTCCGCTCGCCCCGCGACTCCTTCGTCGGCTCCGGCGCTTCCGCCTCCTTGTCCTTGTCCCTTGTCTTGTCCGTGGTGGACCGGCGCGCTGTCGACGGCGCGTCCGTCGCGTCAAACAGGTGCGACCGTCGCGAAATCCAGGTTCGTCATGCCGATCGTCGCCGCGCTGTAACCGAAGCCATTCTTCTTGTCGCCGCCGCCCGTCTCCCAGAGGATGCGCGCAGTTGGACGCGCAGGCCCAAGGCCAGGTGCGTGAGCGAGCCCTCGAGGGGCAGCCGGAACGCGTCGACGACGCCCTCGAGGGGCAGCGACACGTCGTGGTCCGCGTGGACCACGAGCACGATGGCCTCCAGCGCGCAGACCGGGACGACCACTTGCCTGCGCGTGAGCTCCAAGCGCGCCGGGCCGGGCTGCGACTTCCCCGTCGCGTAGAGCTCGACGAAGACGAAGTCGTCGTCGATGTCGGCGCGCTTCTGCGCCGACGGCACAGCGCGCTTCGCGGCGGCGTCGAGGTCGCTGAACGACACGATACTGACGATGTGGCCGACTATTCTCCGAGCGACTCTCCGCGGCCGACCTGCTGTCCTTGTCGGAACTCTCCTTTTCCGCCGTTCTTTGAACGGCCTCCCATGTCACCCCGTGGCTGAGCCAAGAACCTTGCGTTGTGCGGGAAATAGAAACCGTCGCCATGGTTGCACGAAGGAAGCTGAGACACAGCCCCTTGCCGTTGTCTCAATCTTCGCGCCGTCCTTTGTTGCGATCTTCCACAACGCCTCCAGCAAGCTGCCCCCTTGAGCCTTCTTGCCAAGACCCTTCTTCTTCTTGCCAAGACCCTGCTTGCCAGGATCCTGCTTCCCAAGAACATTTTTGTCCAGACTCCGCCCCTTGAAAAGAAGATCCTGTCAGCGGACTGGCCATCTCGCTGGCCATTGGACTGCTTCACGTTCAAATGCGATGTATAGGTACATACGTCACCTGGTAAATGCTTTTGGCAACATCTTTGCAACCGATAACCACACAGGCCCCTGTTCATTCGGTTGCATGCAAAGAGCCAGCCAAATCCACTTCAGCCACGACGCCGACAGGCGCATCATAAGACTCTAAAAATCCCAAGAACCTCGCCGGGGCGATCGTGACTTTGAGCGTAGCCTGACATGAATCCAGCAGTTAATACCTGACGTCGACGAAGGCTGGAATACTCTAAAAACCTCGCTGCGGCAATACCTGAATCCGCGAACAGGTCAAGCTAAGCTCTTTCCTTGGATAGGCCCTTTGGCACTTGGCATCCATCTACATTCTACGAAGTGCATCACCGAGGGTTCTGACGTGGCAGAAGCTGGCCGTTGATGCCATAATAGAGCATATGTAGGCACTGTTCACAGGAAGGTGTGGGGTATTGTACCGAATCCCCTCCGTGCAGCTTGTACATCTTAGATGCCTGACATTTGTATGTGATTAAGATACAATGTAACATACATCAGACGCTAAACGGACATTTATATTGCAGATATCACAGCGTATAGGGACATCAGGTTTCAAAGAGATTCGCGTCCTTGGAGAGTCTTTTGAGAGGGATGTCAGATAGCCGGATGTGACCTGATAGTCCGATCTAAGGCTTTGGAAATCCAACTAAAAAAGCGCAGGTTCTGGACGATGATTATTGGGCGAGAAAAATGCCGGCTGGTCATACATCTATATTGCTTTCCAAGCCTGAATGTAGAAAGATCAATGCAGTGAATGGGTAAGATCCCTGCATCATCTCCACGGGCAATGCAAACCAAGGTTTTTTTTGATCTAACATCAAAGAATGACGGAGTTGATGTCTGAAATTTAGTTTGTATTAATGAAGGCTGTATTTTCGCATCAGCAAAACAGGCACACACAGCTTGAGGTATCGAGTTTAGGGATCGTTGACATTTGAGTGAGTGCACAGACGGGCAAAAAGATGTTTTAGCTGTTCTTATACCTAAGTAGATATGACGTCAGTCGGGAGCACTCATGTATTCCAGCGCTGGAGGGGAGCGAGGAAAGGCAATATCGAGGTTTAGTTCAGCAAAAAAAGACGTATTGAGACTGACACACTCGATCAAAATCTCATCTCTTCCATTTTTGTTGTCCGTGAGTTCACGAGCATATTTTACTAGTGCTGCCATATCTTTGCTTTTACGATTTAAAGTCAAAAGGCTTGTCCCACGTTGCATCAACATGCGAACGTAATCCCGGCGTGAGCAGGGCCGTGAACTGCCTAAGTGAAGCAGCTCACGCACTTCTTCCGGTCTAGACGCCAAGGTTGACCGCTCAAATGATTCTTGATCCATTCGATGCTGCCGTTCGCACCTTTTTGACGATCAAGCCCGCTCATGGGAAGTAGATCACGACAAATTATCATCTCTATGCCTATTCGTAACGTTACATATCTCGTTGACAAAGATTGAACACCGAGGCGTACGATGTTGTGGCAGCGATTCACCAAGGTCGAAGACGTCGTAGCTTCCCTGACTTTCAGCGCTCATTGGATTAAAGGCAAGCACTCCCCGCAACGTCCCTAGAATTAACTTGATGGACGTGCGCCCAACGATTGTAGCCGCTGCTGCTAGTTCTGAATCGCGACTCTGGGACGTCATGATTGGTCATGTCGCAGCGAACATCGACGGCGCCGGGCTGCGAAAAAGCCACATTTTTAGCACCAAGCTCTCTGGCGCGAGGGCGATCTTACTTAAGTACGGTGTACATGTATTGACACTATTGTCCGAGAGACTTCGACGACGATTTCCGTCCACTTGGCCTTTCGTATTTAGCGGCCAATGTATTGACAGTGCTCATATAAGAGCTGTAATTTCGCAGCACCTTTTGAGCTTCTAACATGCGACTTAGGAACTGACCATATTCTTTGCTGGCTTTGGTCATTAATGCAGTAACATTTTGAGCTGTGAGTTGTCTCTTGTGAAGGCGGATTGCCCTAACGTGCAACATTCCAATGTGTTTCTCTCTTTCAAATTCAGGTCCCATCTTATCTTGCAGGATATTTACTATTCGTTCTAATGCGGTTACCCAGTGCAAAACACAGCCACCTTACGTCGCTGTGACGCTAACCAGACAAACACCACAGACACAGAAAAGCTATGCTCTCTGTGCCTGCTTGGCAGTCACTCCTTCAGTTCGCTGTCTATGGGACTTGAAACTGGATTAGAATGAATTAAGGAAGGGAAGGGAAACTAGCAGGATACGCAGTAGGAGCGCAGTGGGGTAAGGTGCACTGCAACATCAAGATGCAGTTCACTGAAGATGAATGTAGAAATCTCTCTATCTCCCTAGTAACACACGGGGCGACTTGGATTCTTTAAACTTTCAGTCTTATAGGCGGCGAAGTCGGGGCCGCTGCTGGCGCCAGACCCCAAAAAGCGCACCGTTCCGACGGCCTCGGGCCCCGAGACATCTCCGCCAGGGCTCTCCGCACCACAGCGCGCAGCCATCGCACGCAACCATCGCCGTTGTGCGCCGGACTTTAGAACGCCGAGGGGCCCGCACGGCCCCGCTCTAGTTGCGCTCTGGGCGCGATCACGACGGGCTACTCGGCCCTCGGCGGGGTGCATTTCCTCCCATGTTTGGCAACTGCACTGGTCCTTTTTCGCGTTTTTTCAGCTCGATGAAAGTTTAGGATACGAAGGGCACGTTTCGCTTGTGTAGTGCTGGCTAATTTTCCCCGATGGGCGCATTCAGCAAGCAGGTGGCCGGGGGGGGCATGGCTAACCAGCCAGCTCCTCTGATCCTCCTTTGGAATTTGCATGGGCATGGGCCCGAAACCCAAGGTTGCTATGCGCACAATTAAGTCCAGGACTGCCTCGGGAATGCTTAATATAGCTGACCGCCCTCCGCGCATCAACAATTTGCCTGGCAAGCGCAACCCGCTGTCGGGATATAACGAACTTTGAGTGCTCGACTACAATGGCGTTTTGTTTGCTTTGGACAAGTTGAGAACATGCGAACTTTATCACTTGCTCTGCGCGCTGGGTGGCTTTGATAGCGGCCAAGCTTGCTTCGCTCACAGCTGCTTCTCGCTTGTCCAAGTCAACTTTGGTGAGCCTCATTTCAGCGGCAGCTGCTCGCACGTCATCCTCTGCTTTCGTAGCTGCCTTTTCACGCAAGGTGGCACGACTCTCGATAGCATCAGCATCTCTAAATCGCGGTTCGAGTGTGGCGCACATAGATCGAAACTCTGTGCGCTCTACTTCCAGCTGTGATCGCTCCGCGTCCAATACAGATCTGTCTCTCGCAATTGAGGTCCTCTCCGAATCAAGCACTGACTGCAAGCAGATTAGCCGCTCCTTTTCCCGTCGATTTGCCTCATCATTCATAGTTCGGTAGACGTCGACGTTCGCTCGCCCCGCGATGAGCTCCTGATTGCTCTGGTGCAGGACACGGAGACGCTCCTCTTCAAACTTTTTTTCTCGGGCGTAGTGGTTGTCTTGCAACGCGGATCTATACCGTTGGATGTCAAGCCTCTCTTCCTCGACCATGCGGCGCATCTCGTGCAGCCTGTCCTCCTCAAACGCCAGCCTTTGCTTCCCAAAGTCGGGAGTGTTAAGGATCTCCTTTGAGTGGCACTTTTCCACAGCCTCAATTGCGCCTCGCAGTACAGCAACCTCGATATTCCGACGCATCACGTCCGTCTTACGGGCCTCGTCAGTGGCTTTGAGTTTGGCCATTAAGCCTTTGGTTGCCGTCCCAGACTCAGCTGCCATCTTCGACAGCCTTGCCTTGAGCTTAATTATTTCTCTGCCGCTCAGCACGGCTTCTTTCTCGCGGTCCGAACACGCGGCATCGGCCACCTTGAGCAAGGTCTTACTATTCATCAACTGAGTTTCTACGTCGGCAAGCTTTTCCTTCGTATGGATCAAATCGTGAGCGACAGCATCTGCACGCTGCTGTGACTCCAGCAGCTTTCGTTCGTGTTCCACGCGCCGAGCATCCGCACCTAATTTGATGAGGCTTAGGTTTGCATAACTCGAACAAACTCATGTCTCAATGAAACAGAACTAAAATCAAACGCATTTCGCACGCGCGCTTGCTGCTTGCTTTTCCTCCTGGACCGCGCACACTTCCAGCCCCCGCTGTCTCTGCCCAGCAACGAGGTCTACCTCAAGCTGTTCTAGCTGGTCTTCGACCCCGAGACTAATTTGCATGGCTTCTTTGACTGTGTCAGAAAAGCAGTTGCCTGGCTGATTCAAAGCACGAGAAACGCCCTTGAGCTTGTGCCTGATCTCAGAAATTTGGGTGGGAAGACATTTTTCTGACGTCAGATGCCTGAGGAGTGTGGCAACATCTGACAGTGGAAGTCTTGGAACGCTATCATGATTCCAACCACTTTTTGAAAGTGAATTTTCAAAATCTTCGCTGTACGCGGTGCCGGAGGCATCGCAATTAGAGTCAACGATATCTGAAGCACTTTGTTGTGCTATGCGCGATGTCCTCGACGTAGCGTTTCTGGTTGTACTGCTCGCGGCTGTTCTGTCCTCAAAGTCTTCACCATAAGAAACGCTACTAGCAAGCGGGCCATCCGCAAGTCCATCATCCCCATCGAAGTCTTCGCTGTACTCACCATCGCTTGGAATTTCAGGTGGACACTCGTCGACTAGTGGCATAGAACAGGAAATAAGTCTTGGTGACGAAGCCACGATGTCCGGCGCAGTTGCAACCCGCTTTTCCCACTCAGATACAGTACCATGCCGCTCCGAGAATGTCACACTTCGTCTTAGAAGCGACTCCGCACTGTCCACAGACGCTATGGAAGATACACTTTGCCATAATTGCGTGCTCAACACTTTCGGTGTGCGACACACTGCTGGTGACTTCGCATCTTGTGATCCGCTCGCATTTGATGACTCGTGCACTTCGAAGGAACCCCCAGGCGCAGCTGGGTGTGTCGCGTCGTTCCCAGCAGGGTTCGTACGGCGCATGCTGATAGTCGGCTGCCCCGGGCCGCACTAAGATTCGGCAAACCCCCCTGGAAAACGATGCTCCGGTGTTGGGGTATTACTCTCTATCGTCGACGAGAAAACGCTACCGCGCGGTCTTTTTGGCCAGGCCGTCGCGCATGGTCATAGCGACGTGCGCTCGGCCCTTAAGAGGAAGGGGAACTCCGACACAAATCCCCCAACGGCCCGTGCCAGCCGGCACGGGCCGCTGCGGCGAGCGCAATTCCAATCCTTCGCGGAAAGGACATCTAGATAGCACACGAAAGGGGTGTCCCTTAACTTCCTAAGCAGCCTCGCAGCCTTCCCGGGCAACGCGCGCGCGTCCCGACGCAGGCTGCGGACTGCAAATCGGCAGCAGTTGCTTCTAAACCAAGCCAACAGAACCGAATACCACGCATTATCTGCCTCTGAGAGCTCAGGGGGACTAACGACTTAAGAGCTGTTTCATTCTGACAAGGCAAGGTACAAACTAGCAGGTCATTGTCCGGTATGGATATTTCACCAGATGCTAATCGTTCGATCACCTTGTCTAGATCCTCCACCTGGTTTGGTGAATAGGGGCGGCCGCGACAGGCCGACGGCGCCCGCCCCGGCCCCGGCTCCTGCTCTTCAATGCGCCCGCGTCCCGCACCAAAAAAATCAAATAGGTAACCTGGTCCGCCATGCGACTATTGTGACATGGAGATCTCCCGCTAATCACTTCTCCCGCTACTCGTTGTCTATGGAACGCTACCAAAGAATAGATAAGATTGGAGAAGGTAACACTTTCGGGGCTAAAAGGAGCTTCCGAAAAAAGAGCGTCCGGTAGGCACATACGGCGTCGTATACAAGGCATCAGACAAGGTCCGTCGTATTTGTGTCGCTCGCCTAACCAATCGTCCAGGCCACTGGTGAAATCGTGGCGCTCAAAAAGATCCGTTTAGAGGCAGAGGACGAAGGCATCCCTTCAACCGCACATCTGGTGTCCTGTATCATGGTTCTCTTACTCACCTCTGCCCCCCCCAAATTGCGGTAGGCTATCCGTGAGATCTCACTTCTCAAGGAGCTGCAGCATCCGAACATCGTTCGATTGTATGACGTTGTTCATACCGAACGTCGACTGACGCTCGTCTTTGAATATTTGGACCAGGACCTTAAGAAGTATCTGGATATTTGCGAGGGCGGACTCGAAGCAACAATACTAAAAAGCTTCCTTTATCAGCTTCTCTGTGGTGTTGCATTCTGTCACACCCACCGCGTACTCCACCGGGATCTCAAGCCACAGAATCTCCTTATAAATCGTGAAGGCAAGCTCAAGCTTGCTGACTTTGGTCTTGCACGAGCTTTTGGTATCCCAGTCCGAAGCTACACACACGAGGTTACGTCCTTTCTTGACCGAGTATTCTTGTACAGATTGGCGTATTAGGTTGTGACCCTGTGGTACCGTGCACCAGACGTGTTAATGGGTTCACGCACATATTCAACTCCTGTTGATATTTGGTCTGTTGGTTGTATCTTTGCAGAGATGGCTACATCCAAGCCCCTCTTTGTGGATCACAGTGTCCCGCAATGTGGCAAGACAACACACATCGAGTAGGCTGGTACATCTGAGTCAGATCAGCTGAAACGCATATTCAAGACTCTTGGAACGCCGACACCTCAGGAATACCCGGCGCTTGTTGAGCTGCCAGAGTACAATCGTGATCCCGATATTATGCGGTACCCATCACCTACCTCCTTTACGGAGATAACACCACAGATAGATCACATTGGGACTGCCCTCCTGTCAGAGATGCTTGCATACGATCCTCTCCAGCGCTGCTCTGCTGCCGATGCCATGAAGCACGAATACTTCAATGGTGATGCTGTCAGGCAGGCATCGGGCAAGTAGTTTCCAAATATCGCTGAGCTAGGCGCTAGAGCAGTATGATGTGGATATGATGATTTCGGTTTGCAATTGTCAGTATATGTAAACAGCCCAAAGAAAGTGCGCACCACTAGCCTGCTCTTGCCTTTGGCATAGCTTTATTGCGGGCACGGGTTAACACAAGGAGATCTGGCGCAACTAGATTAATGCAAGGAGATCTGGCGCCCCCCCCCCCCGGGCAGCGCCCCCGGGCGTGCTTAATGCCCCACGCTTGGCTATGGCCGCCCGCTATGGCCGCCGGATTACCGGTAAAGCCCCGAGCCGCCCCGGTTGTTATGTACGGAACTTAGATTCTTTACAAGCACCCACTTACTAGTAGACTGCCCTTAGCCTGTTCCTAGCAAGGTGTATCTCTTCCACGTTAAGCATTAACTAGGCTAATAGGCTGTGTTTTCGTGGATAATCAGTGGACTATACGGATGATAGAAGGTTCTACATGTGATGATCTGAGTTTTAGTGCACCAAAATTGGTCACGCCCAAGGGGCACGCACTGCCAAGCCATCGGCAGCGGGTCGGCGAAAATCGGCGCCGCGCCGCTGCGTTTTGGCGATAGACGCTGTGGCAAAAATGCGCCGAAAAAGGGCTGCATATGCACCCATTCGCGCGCACTACCACGGGATGATCACCATCTTCTGGGGGTCCACAAGGCGCGCTCGTCCGCGCAGGGTCCCAGGCAACTCAGCGCGTCGAGCACGGGCAGCCGCAGACGCTGGGATCGCTTCGTGGAGCTCATGGCGCGCTCGAACGCGCTCGAAAGCGGGTTTCGCAGCCCGGCGCGCCGTCATGTTCCAGCGACCTGCGCACCGGAACTCGGTCGTGCGCGACGAAGGAGCGTCGTCGCGGCACCGCGGGGTCCGACCCTGCGGACACCGCGGCGGCCATCCCACGCGCGCACCATGGTGTGAATTAGGGCTGCAACATAGCGTGGACTATATGTGGACTATAGCCTAGTAACTGTTAATGGTTAACAAATCGTTTGTCGTTTAAACGGACCCGATGTCTCTTTTTCTTGACTTCCCCTGCTCACTACCGGGCAAGACGAAAGTTACCGCCGTGGCGTGGTGTACAGTTGAGCCAATTTGTGCTATTGTAACAGATGACCATTGTATTTCTTTCTACCTCGAAGAGGGCATTTGTTTGGACGAATGTAGAATTCAACGAAAAACAGATGCTACGGTCGTAGTTTGGCACCCGAAGATGAAAGCGCTCGCGTCCGGCTGGGAGGATGGATGCGTCGCTGTATGGGGCCTTACGATGCCGCCGAACAGCAGCGGGGTGGCTGGTCCAAATACTGCCTGCATATTTGCTGCAGACTCCAAGCATGGCCGTGCACCCGTCCGCATTGCCATGTGGAACCCACTAGCGACGAGGTTGGTGACCGGCGATGCTGCGGGCGCTATTACAGTCTGGAAGGTGCTTCCCATGATACAGTATAGCATCATCCAAGCGGAGGGTCTCATAGGCCGACACACGTGCCAGTCTTTCTGTTCTAAAAGGATACTCTATCGGGTCAGGAATCACTTGCTCCGCGGCCTCCCGCGAATAGCATCAAAAGTGTGTTCTCTCCAAAGCTGAGTCTCTGGTTCTCAGAACATACAATATTGCTAGTGTGTCTATTCGTGGCACACCTAAAAAATCTATCGGCAACATGTTATTGCATGCGACCTAGGTCTTCACACCAATGAATATTAGCTCGGCGTGCTCGAGCGTCGCCAAACTTTCAATCAGTGCTCACACCCCGAAGACTTGAGCGAGGCTTGAATTGGCACAGGCGCGAGCTGAGACCCTAGCTCAAGCTTTTTCACCCGCTTTTTTCATTGGCACCCGTAGTGGGTCGCTATATTATGCAGATGATGTGGGTCATACTACGGAGGTCCAGGCTCTTGGTGCACGCATCGATCATATGCTTTTTTTTGAAGCGAAATCACGCCTGGTCCTACTTACCCGCGCCCTTGTCCTTGTCCAACTCCAAATTGGTAGCGACGGCAAAGTTATTCCAGTAATGAAGATGAAAGTTGCCGTCGCGGGTGGAGCAGCAGAGCGTGGCATCAAGCACATCTGCTGGGCTGGACCTGGCGTCATTGCCGCTGCAACTGGGGAGGTTTTGTGATTGGCAATTTTTGCTGTTATTGAGTCTTTAGTCAGATAACCCAGCATGACCTAGCAACTTCAGGCATTGATTCGCTTCTGGAACTTGGCAAATGATGAGACTTATGTGATCACCCTCACTTCCGCAGGACTTGATCGCAGCTCGCGGGTTGCCTCTGTGGCATTCAACCCCCTCCAACGCTACCTTGCTGTTGGGACGCGAGACGGTAGCATTGCAATGTGGCGCTTTACGGGAGACTATCAGGATGCAAAGTTGGTGACTATGATCATACAATTGTGATTTCTTAGCCCCTAAAAGCTATGAGAGAAGAGAAAAATTTATCCATAGCCTCCTGTGCACGGGATTATTTAAATGACGCAACCTAGGTTGCGCGGTGGCGACAACGCAGGCGGTGTCGCAACAAGCGCGAGCTACCGTGCCCTCAAAAGCTTGTGTTGAATCGTGTGGACGTGCCCCGATTCAGGCGATAGATTGGGAGGCCATGCCCCAATCGACAGCTTGTGGAGGCATATCATCAATAGATGTGATGGCGTGGGGGCCTGGCCAGGGTCTCCTCGCTGCTGCTGCTCCCGATGGCTCGACCTCGCTTCTTTCAGAGACGGTCCTTCACCGCCTCCTTCGAGCAGACGTCGGCGTTATTCAACTCTCCACTGATACTGTCAGGGTCGAGCGGCAGAACGGTGCAAGTGTCCTTCTGACAACGGACCTTTCTATTCGAGGCCTTGCTGTATCATCCCGTCATGCCGGTACCAGGGTCGGGCTGGCGAGCGTTTTTCAGTTGTACCGGGCCCATTCTCCAACACAGGACCTCAGCTATAATTCTTAGGTTGTTGTGTGGAACGGACAGGAAGCTCGAGTCTATGAATGGTCAGATGAAATGGGCGACGCAAAGCCAATGGAAACAGCCAGATTCCCTACTACAGCTCGTGCCATTGCCCTCCGAGAAGAGACCCTTTTTCGTGCATCGAACAACCTAGTTGAATTGTGCAACCTTCAAGGCATCGTACGTCAAAAAATTACCTTTTCAGAGGGTGAAGGTTCTCCGACACACCTTGATGTCAACGGTGACTATCTCGCTGTTGCAACTGACACTGGATTAATCAAGATATATCAAGTGACTAGGCGTGAACCCAAGCAGCTTGGCTCTCCAGGTCACTTTCACCTTTGGGCCCAGGCTCAGAATTTTCTTCCCTCGAATACTGATGAATCTGTGCACCCACCTGGGTCATCCAAAGGACTTTCTGCAGAAGAATCTGCTCGCGGCCATGCCATTCGCTCTATCCGATGTAATGCAGATGGGACGCGTGTGTCGATCCTGGCTGATCATGTACGCAGCAGCGAGGTAGACAACGAAGTGTGTAGAACGGGAGAGGGGGCGCTTAGAGAGCTCGAAAAATTAGTTTGGACATTATGCGTGTCTGTTTCAAAGGTGCATGGTGTTTCAGTTCGAATCCGTGAGCCTGACTCGCGTCTTCATGTGTATGACTCAGAGCGAGATATTGTTGACTCACATGATTTTGGCGAAGTGCGACACTTTCCGGTGTCGCACTACTGGGACCCACTAGAGCCCAAATTACTTGCTTGCGAAACCCGCCGCATGCGCATTTTACACACAAGCATCACCAACTCACACAGCAATCTTCGAGCAGAAAATGAGACCAGCAAGAAATATTTCCCTCTTTGCTTGCACGAAGGCAAAATTTCAGGCCCCAACGACAGCGCCGAGACACGATCCAGCGTGTTGCAACGAAAACTTGCGCGTAAGGTTACAGAAGAAGCGGGACCAATCATGGAAGTTACCACGCTCTTTGTCACGGCTGAATATGGTATATTACTGCAAGACACATTTCCACTTGAGCCGCCGTTAGAGGCACTGTTGGGGGTTCAAGTTCCCCGCCTGTTTTTCACACGGTGTGGTGGAGCGCCTACACTTGAAGCTGGCGATGCTGATGCTGAGGAAGGTAATGTAAACAAGAATATCGGCGAACCAGCTGATAACGTTGGGTTGTGCGGTCGCGTTATGCGAGATTTTGTTGGTCTTGATGACGCAGATGCACGAACCCGGTCTGCGCTGCTTGATTTTTCGTTCTATCTAACAGTTGGGAATATGGATGAAGCACACCGTGCGGTGCGTCTCATCAAATCTCCGTCCGTCTGGGAGAACATGGCACACATGTGTGTCAAGACTAAGCGCCTAGATGTTGCAGAGGTTTGCCTTGGCCATATGGGACACGCTCGTGGTGCTGCGGCGGTTCGCGCTACCAAGAATGATGTTATTGAGCTGGAAGCCAGGGTCGCCTCTGTTGCCGTGCAACTCGGGCTCCGAAATGATGCTGCGCGGCTCTATCGCGAATGTAGGCGCTTTGACCTCTTGAATGAGCTCTACCAAGCTGCTGGGGAGTGGGAGTTGGCCTTGGATACTGCAGCTCACTCTGACCGCATTCATTTGCGCTCAACGCACCACCGCTATGCGAGACACTTGGAAGCACTCGGTTCATATGATGGGGCTGCACGACATTTTGAACTTGCAGATACCCACCGGCGGGAGGTGCCCCGTGTGCTGGTTGCCCGGGGTGAGCAAGCAGCACTTGAGCATTACGTCATGCGCGCAAACGATGCAGAGCTGCTAAAATGGTGGGCTGGCTACTGTGAATCTCTTGGTCATCTTGATTCGGCGCAGCACTGCTATGAGTCGGCTGGCGATCATTATTCGCTAGTTCGGGTGGCTTGTTTCTCCAATGAAACAAATCGCGCTGCGGAAATTGTCCACGAATCTCGCTCCACCGCTGGTGCATATCACCTTGCTCGTCATTTGGAGGGTCGCGGCGACATTAACGAGGCTATTCAGTACTTTGCGAAGTCTGGATGCTACAATCACGCAATCCGCCTCGCACGACAGTATCAGCTAGATACAGATCTTCTTCAATTCTCCATCAAAGCACGGCCAAGCCTTCAAGTTGACTGTGCAAATTATTTCGAGCAAAAAGGTGAATTTGAGAAGGCGGTTCAACTGTACCAGAAAGGCGGCGAGCTTGCAAAGGCCCTTGACCTGTGCTTCAAGGTCGGCGGCGCGGGGCGCGCCCAGATGTTTGAGGTCCTTTCCAATATTTCCAAGGAACTTGATGACACAGCTTCACCAGCTGTGGTGGCACGTTGTGCCGAATTTTTCGTTGAGCATGGCCAGTATGAAAAGGCAGTCAAGCTGTATATCACTGGTGGTCGGTATGCCCAGGCAATCGCTCTGTGCTCAGAGCGCCACGTCGCAATCACGGACGAACTCGCCGAGGCGATGACCCCGCCCAAGCACGAAGAGGCGACGAGCGAAAGCAATGCATTTTATGCACAACGCAAGTCAACCCAACACATTGCCAAGAGGCTTAGTGCTGAGGAGCGAGTTGAGGTACTGCTTGAGCTAGCACGCGCATGCAAAAAGCAAAACTCTTTCCAGCTCGCATGCAAGAAATTCACTCAGGCTGGAGATCGACCTCGTGCCCTCAAATGTCTCTTAAAGAGTGGTGATACGAAAAATATCATCTACTATGCATCTGTGAGCCGGCATCGCGACATCTACATACTTGCAGCAAATTACCTTCAATCTCTGGACTGGCAATCAGGATCGGAAGCCGCGGCCGAACTCACCAAAAAAATAGTTGAGTTCTACACCAAGGCGCGTGCCCACGAACCCCTGGCCGCTTTCTATGATGCATACGCACAAATGGAAATAGATGAATTCCGAGATTACGAAAAGGCGCTCGGAGCACTCAAGGAGTCCAGGCAACAACTCGAAAAGGCCCGCAAGATGGTGGACCGTGAGCGCCGAATCACTGCTTTGGAGTCGCGCATTTCAATCGTCTCGGACTTTGTTGAGGCCAGGCGATATGAAAAGTCAGACCCTCAGAAGATGGCTGACGTGTGCACAGCCCTGTTGCAACGACATGATGTTGAATCCGTAATTCGCCGTGTCTATACATGTGTTGAACTCATCATCAGATTTTCATCTTTCACTTAGGCTATCCGAATTGGTGATGCATATGCACTATTAGTGGAATATCATTTTAAAGCAAACAATGCCCATGATGCATTTGCACTGGTGCAGCAAATGCGACAAAGGCGTATCGTCCTTCATCCATATCTCGAACAAGATCTTCTCGAACAGATTCATAGGGCAGTTGGAGCTGATCTGCCATTTGATGAACAAGCGAAGGATATTGTCGATGACGATGTTGTGAATGAAGAAGTTGACGAAGTCGATAGCGATGAGGATCATTCTCATACACCAGTGACTCACAAATAAACCCGCTCAGTGCCTCACAAAATTTACTTCCTCACAAACCTACTGTGCGCTTCGTAAAACGGATCAACCAAATTCGATTAGTGAATCACAAAATGCGTGCAAATCCGTTGGAGTGAAGCTGCCGCATTCACCTCTGATCTATTCCAACAATTTTAGGGCAAAGAATTGGCTGAACGCGCCCTGTCCGATCCCAGGTTGAAGTTCAAGTTGAACCCAAATCTCTATGTTGAGTTATTTTTGGCCGCCAGAAGCCGCCGCAAGGCAATGTGTGGGCCGCAGGGCCCCACGGGGGGCCAGGGGAGCTGATGGGGCATCTTCTCCGGTAATGCAAATAATAAAGACGGGCCTTGCTGTCTGTCTCTTGGTTCCGTTCGCAGTCGAACCCCCGAGTGGTACGTTTTTAATTCGCGCGTCGGCGGGAGGGGTGCGAGGGCTGGGCCTGGGACGTCCCTCGGACGCGTCGTGGTTCCCCGCGTTTATCGCGTGTTTGCTGGCCTCCTAACTCCATAATCGACAAGAGTTATGCAATCTTAACGGTCTTCCGTGGCCGTTGAACTCGGCCCAAACCGGTTTGGGAGCTAGGCCAAACCTGTTTGGCGTATGTGAGCCCGTTGAACGCGCGATCCTCGTCGATTTTTGCAGTGTTCGTTGCGTGCTTCCTTCTGCGTGTCGCCCTTGGCCTCGGCTCGCGTCCTCGAGGCGCTGTGCGCCGCGCGTGCGCTGTGCGTGACGGTCGACGGTGTTGCAATTGAGGCGTTGCAGTAGCGGTTGCGGTGGTGGTGTGGCCCTTTAGCGCAACGTGATGGCAGCGCGACGCGACGGCGATGGTGACGAGGTGCGGGAGGCACGCGACGCGCTGTTGGAGTTGGGTCGAGGGCCGGTTAGAGGTGTTGTTGTGGATGAGCCAGATCGCATCAACGAGTTGGTTTCTTTCGGTTCCATTTCGCGCCCGCCCGAAGTAGTCGGCCGCATTTTCATGACCGATGGGGAAGGTGGGCTCCGGCGTGGCGCCACGTGCGGCCGATCGGCAAGTACAACGCTCTAGTACGTCGGCGAACGCAGCGCTGCGACTTGGGCCGCGCTGTGATCGGAACCATTCGCGCGGCGGCCTCGAACGACTCGCATGGCGCACAGCGTCATCGAGTGTACCTGGTTGGCCATGGGGCTTCTCACGTTGGTGTTGGGGCCTCCAGGCAGTCCAGACGGACCCATGGACCAGATCCGACGCGAGAAGGCGACCCCCGAGGTCGAGATGCGCCTCCCAGATCGATTCGAGCGCGCACAGCCCACTGCCCGCGCGCGGTCACCATCCGAGTCGCCACCTGGACGTCCTCCGAGTCCTATCTCCCCGGCCCTTTTCCCACGCGCGAGGGCTCGGGTAAGGAGCGCCCTCGTCAATTTGGTGGGGCTAAGGCCACCATGCTCGCGCGCTTGGACGGCGTCGCGGTCTGGTGTCGCCCCCCTTGACTGCGCCGTAGAATTGTGTAAAGTTACAGCTGTACTCTACTGAGAATGTAGCTAGGGACCAGGTTTTTATATCTGTACCTGTGCAAAGATTAACGGGGCGATCAATGAACGCGTTACGTCGGACAAACGCTCCTCGTGGCGAGGACAGTACTCATCAATATTGTTTCCACACCTTGCCCATCTTGCCAAGGAGTCGTGTGGTTCAGCTCGAGCACATCGAACCTGGCCGACAACTTCGCGAGGCTTCAGCGCGCAAGTGTCCCGGCGCCGCCATTTTTGTCCCTTTCGACCAAACTACACAGGCGGCGATCTCGAACGGCTAGCTGTCGCACTTAATCATCCTAAGGCAAAACCAAATTGCCGGTCAATGATAGACTACAGTTCGGCGCTGCACGTTGCGGCCGAGAACCACGAGTTAGAAGCGATTAAAGCACTTCTTGACGACGGGCGTTGCAATGCCAATGCACGAAACTACTATATTCGCACGCCATGCCACGTAGCAGCTACGGTAGGGGACTTCGAGATTGTCGAGCTTCTCGCCAAGCACTCTCAGGCGTTGGCCGACCTCACTCTAAAGGATTATGAGAGCAAAACATGCTGGGAGCTTGCACGTATACATGGTATCCCACGGATGATTCTGCAACATAATTGTCAACATTGCTGTAGGCTTTCACGACTGTGCTGATAACATCGAACACCTTGCCTCCAACGGTGCAGGCATGCGCCTGCGGCGGTGGGCAAGCACAGAGGATAAGCGCCTGATGGGCATGATCCAGCGGCATTCAATTCTGCTAGGGGAGACGCCTGCATGAACATCTGCGTAGATGTGCCTTCTCTCGGTTGAGTCCCCACCCATTACAGGTCCCCGGTGAAATAGACTATGAGTATGTCCAGCCCCCAATATATGGCACGGACCTTGACATGGAAATTGACTGCGCATTTGAGACTGTAGGAGAAAATGCGCCCGGCGACTCCCTCGAGAAACCGCAATCATTCAAGCCAGACGAAAAGACGGAGCTGCAGTCTCGCCAGCTTTCTCGAGAGCTCTGTTGTCGGGCTTCTGCCTGAGCATCAAACATAGTGATTCTTAGTTGCTGTCCCCTGCATTCCCCTCTCCTTGAGTGTCACACTTAGGTCACCGCGTTTGTTGTTGCTGACACGATTTGCAAAGGCGCAGTGGAAAATGCACGGGAACTCAATCCAAATCCCCAATGCCCTGAACGACACCGGCCTTCCCCAGATCCGCGCGGTCACTTCGCAATCGGAGTGCCGTCCATTGAAATGCGCAAAGGTGAGGTTGCCTTCGGACACAGAGACGGGGGGGGGGGGGGTAGAAATGGGGCTCGTCGGTGGCTCCTAACCCGAGAAACGTGCTGGTAAGCTCTCTGTTCCAAAACTCCCGAATTCGAACGGAACGTTAACGGAGGGTTTGACACTGCAGCTAGGGGGGCCATCGCACCTTACCTTGAGGCATATCCAGCCGGCGGGATATGTTAAACGGCGCGTAAGGTTAGGCTTCAACCCCAATAGCGCAGCTACAATATTAGAGCCATCGCCACAATCGCCACCGGACTTCGGAAACCACAACATAGGGACAAATGCAGGGGTTCATGGCGAGAACGAACCTGTCACTTTCCGGCACACCGGACAAAGGATAATTGAGGGGATTGACGATGGTCGAACGATATCCGATGCTGCGTTTGGCATGTTCCGGGCCACGGAAGGAGAAAGTGAGAGCACTTTGCAATAGAAAGTCGGGGTCGGCGGTCCCAAAAAATCACTCCATGTCGTGCGAGGCGAAGCAGGGGCCAGCACGAGCGGCTCCCACTTGGCGCCAAGGACCCGTGGGAATTGCTTCGCTATTCGATAAAGTTTTATCACGGCGGCGAGCGACCGAGAAATACCGTCGCGCGTGGGAAACGGGCCACGGAGATGGAACTTATCAGGAGGCTGATGGCGCCCAGGTGGCGATGATGACCGCGCGCGGGCAGTGGGCTGTGCGCGCCCGAGTCGATCTGGGATGCACACCTCGACCTCGGCGGTCGCATTCTCGCGTCAAATCTGGTCCATGGGGCAGCCCGGCCTGCATGGAGGCCCCAGCACCAACGTGAGCAGCCCCGCTGAGCAGTCCCTTGGCCAGCCGGATACACTCGACGACGCTGTGCGCCATTCGAGTCGCTCGAGATCGCCGCGCAAATGGCCCCGGTCTTGGCGTTAAAGTGTTGCGCTCGCTAACACACTAGAGCGTGGTACTTGCTGCTCGGCTGCGAGTGGTGCCACCGTACGACACGCTGGTTCACAGTTCGAAGGGGAAGGCCCAGATTTAAAATCAAGATTATTGGTTTGTTCTTTGATGTGCTTCTTGTAGCTGGCTCATCGGTGCACATCAGCGGGCACTTCCCACAGCTGGATAGACAGCTCAGGCTACGACAGCTGCGTGTGAGGCCTAGCAATATACTGGCTGCTTCTCAGTTGTCAAGGATCGTGCCAGCACCTACTCATGCCCCCCCGTCTCCTTGAAGCAGGTGAACTGCCCGCGCTACAGCCTCCTCGAGGTCGTCAGTGTTTCCAGTATCTTCAACCTTGCTTTTGGCCTTTGAAAAGCTGAGACGTGAAAAACTCCCTCGACGAGTTTTTCCCCCAGTTCTAAGCCCAGTTGGCGTCATTGGCTCTCCTGCATCATTGACATTCGGCTTGACGTGCGAGCCTCGTTTTGAACGTTGCTTTTTTTCCGATTGTAAATGTGCTATGCTATCCAGCTGAACAGCGTATTTGCCAAAGAACATGACAACGACAGATATATCATCGATGCGTTCCTCTTGTTCATACCATTCCTGGTACGCTTTCGCGATAATCCTATGGCATGCAGTGTACCTAAAACACGTTTGTCATCAGCATCAGGGCATCACACTCGACGCGAGCGCAATGCGGATCTGAAGCGACCAAGCAGATATCTACAACATTTTGGTTGGTAAGGAATTCCCAGACTCCATCCGAGGCAATCACACATAGAACGTCTCTATCTGTGAGCTCGTGTGCCACAATTTCGGGTGTTGCGATGCACCCGACAACCTCGGCTGTCTTGTCACCGAGGCTACGGGAGAAAGCACAGCCAGGTTCATACTTCTCAGGTAGCCAGATCCGTGGCGGGTCACCATTTTGATCAATCTCATCACCTAACTCACATTCAAAATTATAACTCATCGACACTCGACCTTCAATCTGCCCGATGGACATGACGCGCCCACCCATGTCGAGAACACGTCGCCGCTCGTCCGCGCGATAGAGCGTTTGATCTATGGACAATGGCTGTGCTACCACCTGGATATTCTGTAACGCTTACTACATTGGACTTCGACACGGCGAGGTTGCTTTGCCTTGGGAGTTGCGCACGCCAAGGATAGAACGTGAGTCACCAACATTCGAGCAGTACAAGGTTGTATCGACAGTCAGGACAGAAACAGCTGTGCTGCCGGAGTCTTCTGAATGGATCTGGAAGTTACTATGGAGCTGCTCGTTCATTGTCTCGTTTGTTTTGACAAGAAGATCAGGAATTGAAATCAAAGGTTCCTGCTCTAGGATCTTATCGGCAACATGCTCCATATTGTCCCGACAATACCATGCGCATTCATGTCCACTGGATCCGTGCCCATCAAAAATCATAAACCAGTGCGCTGTCTTTTCACGACCTGAAAACAGAGCCTCGTTGATCACATAAGAATCTTGGCAGGGTTTTTGCATCTGGTCAGGGTAGAGTCCTCGAAACATAAGTGCAGCATAAGTGCATGAACGATCCGCGCTCATAAATATATGCCGCGCAGGGGACTTCGTGAGCCGACCACGTATCTCACCAGCGCCCAAGAAGCAAGAAGATATTGCATCCGCTGTGAAAGTTTGATCAAATAATTCTTGGTCTGAGGGATGCAGATGGACTTCACTATGTCTCTTTCCCCGCGGCCGCCGGTCTCCAATGGCGGACGATGGCGCCTCTTTCTCAAGGGCGGTGGACACTGAAGCTCCCATAGGCTACGGTTTGCAATCATTCAGAATCGTAGAAATTGCATTTACGGCAGTACAATATGTTTCCGTCCACTTGGCCTTTCGTATCTCCCACTAGCCTGAGCTAAAGGAAGCAAGTAAGATCCTCCCTCGAGGGGAGGTTGAGCTCAGTTTCAATTAAATATGCCAGGATGAAGGCCGACGGACCGCGCTTGGATGGCGCAGCCACCTCAGCCGGAGGAGGGTCGGGCAGGGCGGGTGCTTCATCTGTGCCGAAGGAGGGTGGTGGGCGGGCCAAAAAATATAAGCCGCGCCACCCCGGACCCCGGGGAAGCGGCGAGCTGGGAGAGGACCACCACAACCAGCAGTTTTATTTAGCTGGATGATGATAGGTGGTCTAAACTCACTATCCAAAGGTGTGAAAACTATACTCCGGTCTAATGCCGGCTCCCTCTCCCCCCCCAAGCAAATTTGCAAGGATGTATATTTGGGATCAGGGCATTCAAAACTCCGGTCTTTAACCCGGCTTCGGTCAGCGGCCCCACGGCTATTAAGAATTTCATCATGCCGTTGGACTTTGCGAGAAATCCCCATAACTGAGCTTTGTAACTCATTCAATTGACCCACCACCTGACCCAGAGTCTTTTGAATCTGCACCAGCGTCTGGTTCGGTGGCTCGGGCTCAAGGGGCTCCTCTATGCGTCTCTCCTCGATTATCTCGTCGTTAAGTTTGCTCATGTAACTGTGAAACCTTTCCTGAGAGAACTCTGATTTATCAGAGTCATCATAGGGTAGAATTTCAAACATACAAGTCAGGAGTATGCCCATATGGATGGGTGAGTCGAAAGGCTTGCCATCCAAAATACCCACGGCCATTTCACCCACCTCCTTCATATAATGCTCCAGCAACTTATCACTCAAACCCAACTCTTGGATGTTAGGAGAAACCATATGACCCAAAAAATATAAGCCGCGCCACCCCGGACCCCGGGGAAGCGGCGAGCTGGGAGAGGACCACCACAACCAGCAGTTTTATTTAGCTGGATGATGATAGGTGGTCTAAACTCACTAACTCGTTACCGGAAACATATTGTACTGCCGTAAATGCAATTTCCGTCCACTTGGCCTTTCGTATCTCCCACTAGCCTGAGCTAAAGGAAGCAGAGTAAACTCCTCCCTCAAGGGTGAGGCTGAGCTCAGTTTCAATTAAAGGTGCCAGAATGAAGGCCGACGGACCGCGCTTGTGGCGCAGCCACCTCAGCGGGGACGGAGGAGGGTAGGGCAGGGCGGGCCGTGGAGAATTAAAGAACAAGGGGAGAGAGGAGGGGCCTAACTAGGGATACTCTCATATTTCTCTAACTAGGGAAAACTCTCTACCTTTATGGCCCAATCGACCCGGGAAATATCCCGGGGCGGCTGGCTAAACGCACATAGTCCCCACCGCGCGACTGGCGCCTAGAAAACTTCTGCTTTCCACCTTGGTTAGGATAGTGGCTGCCGCAGACCCGAATTAACCGGAGTATGCAGGCAGAGTCGATCACAACCCCCAGCCACCGGCCCCTGGCTCCGCTGGTGGTGCCCTTCTAGAATTCTATCCCGGCGGGCGACACCGGGGACTAGTGTGAGGGTGACGCCCAGCCCCGGCAGTGCTCGGCCTAGCCGCTATTTCTCGTGTTTCCGCCCGGAAAATCAGCGGTGGGTGACAATGAGAGGCTCTGAGGTAGCACGTTGAATGCGGCGCGCAGGCGGATTCCGCCAATGTCTACGATGAAGAGTTTTAGTGGGCGCTTCGCTGGCAACATTCCAGAATATAGTGGCCTTTTTAGTTGCTTTTACTAGCCGGGATGCTAAAAGCGCCTGCTGACGTCGTCTAGCTAATGTGCGGTTGCACCTGCCCATCACTCCCGAGCACAGCTTCTTGGTTGGCAAGCCTTATGGCAATTTGAAGGTTGTGACGTGTCTTGGCGTCAAGAAGGGCAAGGTTGCCATCAATGGGACACTTGTGATAGGCCGTGGATCCCTGAGATTCGGGTCGCTCAAATGTCTCGTCCGCGGGCGTGTGGTATTGCTGACCCTCGGGGAGGCGCCTGTCACCCTTGTGATGGTGCACGTGATAATGGTGATGACGGCCTTCCTCGTCAATCTCTGATTCAGACTCCGACTCCGAGTGCTCAAAGTCGTGATGCTCGAGCTCTTTATGTAGGTCCCTGAGTCTCTTCTTCTGACGGTCGTCGGCTGCCTGCATTGTGACACTGAGGCCATTGTCTTGGGTGCCGCTCACTTCAGCGCCAACGACTGAAATAAATTCACGAAAATCAATAGTGCCATTGCCATCTTCGTCGAATTCGCTGACAAACTTGTCGAATTCGGCATCATCAAGGTGGATATGATAGTGCGTGAGGGCATAGCGCAGCTCATCCTTAGTCATTGCATGATCGCGCGCGAGGTTGAACCTCGTGAAAGCCGTTCGATTATGCTTGAAGTTCGTGACAAGTTTCGTTATAAGCATGGCGCGTGCCTCTTTGGCAGTGCACTTGGGCGTAGGTTTCGGCACTTTGCATAATTCTGCAGATCCTGGGTTTTGGTCCGCTACACCAACAAATGCCTCGCCTGCGATCGATTTCCCGAACTCCTTCACAAAGAGGGCGAAGCTGACGCCAATTCCGTCGACAGGAAGATCACCGTGGCTACTCTGAACATATTTGATTATCTCCACAACTCGCTCGTCGCTTACATGGAGGTGATAATTGTCAAACATGAGCTTGAATTGCCTCCTAGAAAGCTTAGTGGCTCGACCCTTATTGTAGCGTTTGAACACCTTGTTAACTGAAGTCGAAGTTTCTGTGAGCTTGAGATGCAATAATCGCAGAGCTTCCTTTACGGACAAAAGTGTGGGCCTGGGTGCGCTGTTGACCGCGTGCGGTACACCTGCCGTGCATAGGCCTGTAGATTCACTTACCTGCCAAGGCGCGCCACAGATTGCTTCACCAAACCAATAAAGGAATTCCTCGTAGTTGATACTGCCACTGTTATCACAGTCAAGTTCGCGATACAGCATTTCATAGTCCTCTTCGACAAGCTCGACGTTAAGGGTTTTGATGAAATCTCGTAATTCACTCTTGTCGAGACAACCGCCCTTATCCATGTCGATGTTACGGAACGCTGCACAAGCAGACTTGTACTTGCCACCGAGGCGCCTCGCAACTAACTCCTTGATCTGCTTTACCGTGTAGCGTGGTACCTTGGGCACATGGCACGGCTGACGCAATGCATTTCCAAATTCTTTCTTTCGTTTTTCTTGGCGAATCAGGTGTGCGGTCATTATTCCCGTGTCACGGTAGCCTGCGACAATGTCCCCGAATGCGTTGACAAATTCGCGATAGTTGATGTGGCCGTCGCCATCCTTATCCAATGCGTCGAAAAACTCCTTCGCCTTTACAGGTGACATCTCGAGGTTCAGTTGGCGCAGTGCGGCATGCCACTCTCTTGCGTCGATGCAGCCCGATTTATCGTTGTCTGCGACGCGAAAAATTCGCCTGACAGTCCGAGCACGTGTCATCAATATCGTCTCCATGGCATTCATGAAGTCGATGGTTGTCCAATTCTTGTGATAATTATAGCTACGCTCCTTGCGAATCTCCTCGTGCTTCTCTGCGCGCTTTTCCTCTGCAGTTGCTAGGGCCGATTCCATGCCACCGCCATTCTCAAACTTGCCACCAGCAATATCAGCGCCGAAGTAGTCATTAAATTCGCGATAGGAAATCTTCCCCGAGCCATCAGTGTCAATCATAGCCATTAAACGGTCCATGTCGGCTTCACTCAGCTTAATATGATAATTTTCCAACAGCGAGAGGAGCTCATCCTTCTCCAGTGTTCCAGAGCTATCGCGATCCAATGCACGAAACGCTGTTCGAACTTTCATGTGTTGCGTCGCCATCCGCGCGCGTAACTCCGATACTGCCGACTCAAGTTCCATTTCCCTTAGCCCATTACGCAGGCTTCGACTTGCCACATTCGCCAGGTGTGACTCTTCGCCACGAAAAACATCCATACCTTCGTAACCACCGCCGCATATGCCCTCTCCAAACGCAACTCTAAACTCACGGTAATCGATCGAACCATTTTTGTCGATATCTATCAAATCAAACAGCTCCGTTACGACCTTTGGACCCACACCCACGAGGTTCAGATTGTGCAGTAGCCGTCGGATTTGCGTTTTGGTAATCCGATCTTGCCTATAATGTAAACTTGCTGCGCTGATGCCAAGCACACTATTATGGCACCGCGCTGCACCCGGGCTGGGCAACTTCGCGAAAAGCGCGTCTCACCGAGTTCGATTGTGTCGCAAATTTATCACGCAAAGCGTCCATCAGAAGCTCTGCGGTCCACGTATGTAACCGACGCGGCTTTCGTTTCTTTCGAGCTATATGCTTGACGAGGGGGGGTGCACCCGTGCCCAAGGGTCCCGCTACCATGGTCGTTAAGACTGTTATGAGACTCGCGGGAGCGTTATCTAACTTGTTACCAGGCTAGAAGTGCCGACCCGGTTGCACACACGGACCAGATACACACACGGGAGGCAGCCCGGCGATGGCCCAAAAGATTGGTGGAAAACGAGGCCGTCCGGCGAAGACGCCGAAGAAGGGGCCCTGGCGTCCGACGCCGCCCGACGGCAAGTCGTTGAAAGACGTCGCGGGCGCCGTCGATGAGGAAGTGGATCAAGGGCTTTCGCAAACGCGCGCGGCTTCGCGTCGGCAAGCTGCTGTCGCTCAAGAAGAAGGGCGCGCTGTCGCGGCACCGCGCGAAGTCGGTGCAGCCCTGGCGCATCGCGCACTACTGCGACGAGATCATCTCTGCCGCACGTCACGCTGCTCACCGGATTCATCGGGCCCTGGAAGGGCATCTACCTCACCATTTTCGCGGCCAAGAACCCCCAGGGCTGGTGGTGCGCAGGTTGCTCTGACCGGGTCTACGTAGCCGCGACGGAGAACGGCTGGATCACGCCCGAGCTGAAGCTCATCCAGAGTGCGCGTACGGACGCGTCGACGGCGCCACAGGCCTTCGGGAGCCCCTCCAGCACCTAGCAGTGGCCCCCCGACGCTACCCCGACCGTGCCCGACGCAGCGCACGACCCCCCATGATCCCTACGACCAACCCCGCCGCCCATGGCCGCCCTGCAGCACCACAACGGCCCAACCTGGGTCGTGTGTGCAACTGGGCCTTTCGGCCGGGTGCCCTTTTGGACGACTTCTGCGACCCCGCGACGCCCTTCAAGCCTCCCCGTACCGTCTTTTCCCCCGGTACTCTGATTTTACTTTTATTTTCTAACATATCCCGCCGGCGGGATATGTTAACGGCGGGATATGTTAAACGGCGCTTCAACATGGGCTTCAACCTGACGCACCCGCGCCATAACCTGTTAAGAATCTAAGTTCCGTACATCAACTTGACTTTAAGGTACAGTCCGTAGTAGCAGGATAAGCACAGTGGGTGAGAGGGGAAGCTCAGTGTGCTACCTTACGGTAGCGCGGTCATAAGATAGTAACTGATTAGAAAGGAAGGGGAACTTGAACGGGAAGGCGGGCCTAACTAGGGTAGGTACAGTACTAGCATGATAGTAGTAGGGTAGTGGTAGAGTAGCGTACTGTACTACAGTATAGTCATGGAGATACAGAGAGAGAGAGAGAGAGAGAGAGAGAGAGAGAGAGAGAGAGAGAGAGAGAGAGAGAGAGAGAGCAAGGCCAGTCTATATTCTTTGCAGCTGATTCAATAGAAAGTTAGGATAGTTTACTAGCTTCCTAACGTCGCTATGACGTCAGTCAAACTACTATCCAGCAGGTGCACTGTCCGGCGACTGTGCAACCTCGCTGAGCCTGGTGCTACCTAGGCCATGAGAGTGCGTGCTGTTGTCATGGATGATGCTGGACTGTAAGTAGCATAGAAATCCAATCCTATTGTGGCGAGGAAGCCGCGCACTACACACCTTGCCTTGTACTTGTCGAAGGAGCCATCTCCCTTTCGCTTGATCTTAAGCACAATCTTGGTGCTGATTGGAGAACGTTCTTCGGGGATTACCTCCAAACTGAAGCACTCGTTCCTGCACAGGTCGGCGAATTCCTTCATGATGGCCTTTAGATATTCCCTCTTATGTTCTAGAGGCTCTGACTTAAGTTCTAGAATGGACTCTTCATCCAGCACGATGTCGTCTTCTTTGATCGTTACACCCTGACTGGTTGTTTCCTTTTCTATTAAGACTTGAAACTGGATTAGAATGAATTAAGGAAGGGAAGGGAAAACTAGCAGGATACGCAGTAGGAGCGCAGTGGGGTAAGGTGCACTGCAACATCAAGATGCAGTTCACTGTTCACTGAAGATGAAAATAGAAATCTCTCTATCTCTCTATTCAAGTTGAGCGCGCCGGGCGTGCCTAAGGCGTGCCTTGGCCAATCAGCGGCCGTCGGCGCCGTCGTCCAATCAGCGGACCCTCGGACGCCCGGCTCCCTCGGACGAGAGGAAAACCCCTCGGCCGAGGGCGTCGGCCGAGGGGGGGTGGCCCTCGTCCCGAGGGCGCCGAAACGGCAGAGGGCGCCACATATCATTCCTCAATATCCTGCGCGTATCGCCCGTATCTTAGCTTGACGTGCCAGAGATGAGTGGATCAGCGCTGGAAACTGGGTCGCTCACTCAAAACTTTCTAGGGTGTGTGAAATCTCCTTGCAATCTGCGCGAGGAAGTGACGCTTTGCTTACGACCTAAGATTGCTGCAGCTTACCAAAAGCAGCACAACGGCTCGAAGTATATTGTGCGCGCTCGCTTGCTACCGAGGAGCCATGGAGCTTATCCGACACACTGTCTCTTTCTAATGTCTGATGACCGATTTCTCATTCTGTCTCTTGTTCTTCTTCTGCGTCTTGCAGAGAAGCTGCCGTGGCTTGGAAACTTCAAGCGACAAGGTCCACACACAGCATTTCAGGCAGAAAGATTCAAAGGCTTATTTATATTCTTTCATTGGTGCGCCGGATATCCCTAAAAATGCGTTAGTTGCCGGTATGTAAGGTACAACGAAGTTACGGTGACATGCAACGGAGGAGACTTGATTCAAGCCCGATCAGCTACTCACGTGGAACCCGTCATCATACCAGGCCGTGTCAGGACGCCAGCGTCACCGCTGAATAAACTTCACAAGGGCTGGTCGGACGGACCCACCTTGTCTAATCATGAATCGCCCGTTATAAGAAACATAATCAATCAGAGATCAAACCAGAAGACTAGTGAATGCCGAGGGCAGTTTGATTCCGCAAATTCGTTAGTGATTCCGACCACCAACACACTACATGTTTCTTCTGCAACGAAATCCTCATTTGATTATCATAAACTGAGCAAACGCAGTGCATCGATGGAAAAAAACATCGATGCCATATCAGCCATGCGCAACAACACTGCCAGGTCCAGCCAGAAAAGGCATCGTGCAATTCGATTGATCAACTCGCCGGAGTGAGAGCAAAACACGGGGCAACTTCAAAGGCGCACGAACACCCCGGTGGTGTGTGGGTGGGTGGGTGGGTGGGTGTGTGTGTGTGTGTGA